TGGTACGTGCGCAGTGCATGCAACCCAAGGCTTGCCGCTCGCGATGAATCTAAGTTGTAAGGTTCAGTTGTCGCAGTGTTCGCCGAGCTGGATAACTTGCTTGCAACCGTTTCGTCACCAGTTGAGGTGGCATCATCAGTGCGAAGGAGTTAGCGGTTTCGTAGCAGAAGCTGGTGGAAGGCAAATCTGTAGATTGCACCCCCAGCTTGACCACACCGTGTCAATGTAATGTAAATCTGAGAAAATTTAAAGTACCTAGATTTGTTAATGAGAAGGAGCATAGTGGGTTGGGATGTTTAGTGGTGATACGCTCGGCAGTGTGCTCTGATGCTTCAAGCAGCAACTTACGACTCCAGCTAAAAGTGGACACCGCTAGGGCATGAGGCGATCGGGCAGTGATTAGATACGAATCGCGAATGGAACACAGACGCGATAGGCCTACCGTAATTCTCTGACGTTGTTCAGAAGATGACACACATGTTGAAGGGGAAACGACAACGGACTATGAGCGACAGACTTGCTGGTATCTCGGAGACAAGCAAGGCGCATACGGAACACGGTCAACTGCGAAGTGGCGAGATGGTGGTGTTATGTGAAATACCTCGGATAATGCAGAGTGGCAACATCTCAATGCTTAGTGTATTGCACTGCGTGATTTAACGGGAGAGGATGAAAGAGAAAACACTTTTCGGATTAAAGGATCATCTTTACTACCACTGTACAGAGGTAAGGGGAACAAGTAACGCGGTATTAGACTTGCGCAACCACGTTATGTGGGAGGCAGCTAGGAGTCCACTTAGCCGCTTTGTTGCTTAGCAGCTAAACTAAACAAACCCGAAAGGCATCGTGGGCATCTTTCAGACCGCGGTACAATCGGCATAGTGTTCGCAACAAGTTAACGGAATTCAAACAGTCGTTGTGTTTACTGTTCGTCAACGCCACGAATGCGCCCGACACGGTTCCGGTGCGCCAGTAAGCAAGCGGTTCAAGAAAAAGCTGTGTTGATAAACCTCAGATGAATCGGATGTTGCCTGGCGTAAGGCAAGACTGTACTCTCGCATATACTCATTTTAGTAGCTATTTCCCGGTCATGCGTTTCAACCACGTGAGTACGAAGTCCATCTGGAGCACTGCACGGACAGTAGGATGATGAGTAACAATTACTTTGGGACGAAGAGCTCATTGAGCAAGGAGACTAACGAGATGCTGCACTTTAGAAGGAAATGAACTGAGGAGATTCAATTCAATTCATGACGACAACTATGGATTCGACGGTGGTCAACTTCTGATTCCCCAGCGGAACATTTAGGGCTGTGTGACTTCGTCCGTTGTCATTATGGATGGAGTTGACATGTTCGACGGAAATCCGGATTAGCAAGGGAGTGCAGTCTGACTAGTCGGGGGAGTTCCATCTCAAGGTAGGTTGTCAACCGAACCGCAGGTAATCTGCAACACGAGCAGCTGTTTGTAGAGGTCAAGAGCATTCTACAATATGCTGAAACATCGAGTGTGTAAGGACCATCCAACGACCACTGGGGCCAAACTGATAATGCAAAGATCAATATTTTTTCCAGGTTCGCCATGGTAGCGAGGCACGCCACAAAGGAAAGATATTCGTGACCTAGAATGATATAAGCTGTATTTATAGCGGATGTTTCTGCACATCCACTGATTAGATAGAGTCATGGAAACTGAAGGGATCCGCAGAGCGACATACCTGAAATCATTGATGTGTCGCTGATGTGATAACTTAGGTGACTTGGTCACGTCTGTCGAATGAATGAGAACACAACACAGAAGTGGTTGTCTCATGATCAATTGAGTCGGGGTGAGAGAACTGCAGGCAAAAAGAAACCGTGCCAGTTTGAGCTTGTCGCAAACTAAGGCTGTTTCAAATGCTAGAGAGCAGTGATAGTCAATCATTAGTAATGGTGTGACCAGTTTAAGCTTGTTGTTGACTGGTGAATACTAGATTGTTGCCCGTCAACCCCGTAATACCGCAGTAAATGCGGCCGTGTTTCATTCGTGAGCTCAACCGGTTTGGGAAGTGATCAGCATGGTCACGAAATCGCCGTGTCAAAGTGACCGCTGCTTGCCGCAGGTATATATATGCATGCAAACAGTTTACACAGTACATTAGAGAAAACGTTGGGAATAGAACTTTGAACTGCTCGATAAACTGATTTTAACTAAGGCATCATAAAACAGCATGACATAACACTGGCGGAAGACAGAAACAGCCTTAAATTTTCCAATGTTCAAACGGCCTGACACATTCGATATCTAATGCGGTTAAAAGGAGTGAAACCGATTAGCAAGAAAGATTTATGTGAAAAGTGAGGAAGGAAATAAGCTCTTTATCAGCCAAACAGTACTACCATATGCTGGATCAAGGGCACCTCGGAACGCCCTCATTGAGAGTACACAGTTATCGCAACGGCGTCAAAGTACCGAAGGCTAGAAGACGTTTTCTGACACATAATCAGTTTTAGTGAAACCAATGCTGTTGCCTGGAAGGATAACTCCCTAAGCCACTTCAAGTGGCTACCGATGAAGACGGTAGCTCGTACAGCGACGCAAATCACAGCAAAAACACACAACAACGCGAACTCATATATGGAAAGTGATGACCAGCAATACTGGAGCGGTAAAATCGGTGTAACTTTAGCCCGGATAGACGGTGCTGGCACTGTCGATATACTCGGACGCAGACCATCAAAAGTTATAAAGTGAAGGATCATCCATAAAGGCACATCCAGAATATAAGTAGATAAGCGAGTAGTTATCGCTGCATGACATACGCTAAATGTCTAAGGGTTCCAATCTGGTTCGGAAAGTTTGTGGAACAGCTTATATCCGTGTAGAGGGGCCATTAATATATATATATATATATATATATATATATATATATATATATATAAGTTGGGGATGAAGTGTTTTAAGCTCCAATGGAAGCATGAAGATCGCCTTCAACGTTAAAGACGATAATAGGGGTTGGTAGACCCCACACATGGCAGTTCAGCGGAAATAAGGCGGATGTTGGCCCCCACCTGCGTCAGTTTCTGCACATAAACTAAAGCCGTGAGTTTTGGGTTTCCAATAAAAAGAATCAGATCATGGTTTCTACTCTGCAATCACGGTGAGACAATCTTCAAACAATTAGCACTAAGTGCTCACGACAGAGACCTAACAATCTCTCCAATTCTGCAAGTATATCGACAGCGGGTTCTATGCGAGAACAGACTGCATGTTTGAAAAGGGCCGAGGGGAATCCAAGTGACACCATCGTTTTACACTCTATATCTGGTCTCGGAAGTGGAACAAGACACAATAAAATTGTGAATGAGTAAACGTAGAGCATGATATCGAATCAGTCATCTTCCAACGTGATTCCGACCACACAGTTGACAGAATGTGTTGTGCACAGAGATTAGCTGTAGCAACTCTGCGCAACTCAATACAAAAGTAGGTGTTAGATACTAAAAGTAGACAACTGTATGCGTTGGACAGCCTGATTCGACTACCTGGATGTAGCAGATATCTGGTAACGAGTGTTCTCGGGGTTTCCCGTTACAGCCAGCTGCTTCGACGATCGGAGTAAAAGATAGATCTATGGTGCAGAATGGCGTCGAGCTATTTTGGCATGTAGGAGCTCTAATCTCATCAGTGTCGGGTTGGTGAAACGTGAGTGTCAAGTAACCGTAGCTGGAGATAGATCGATAGGCTTTATGCTAACACAAATGAGTGAATGGTTACTCATACGCCTAGTCATTTTCCGTGTCCAAGAAAGGATGTTCCGACGTCAACACAGGCAACTAGATGGTGAGAGCAAATGCTCGCATACTATGCTAAACGATACTAGCCTAAGAAAACATAATCAGTACGTATTCATTTATACTAAACGCCGATCGAACGATGTGTGACTATGCAACGGGTATTGGGGGTGGAAACTGGTGCGGAATCGGAACCAATGAGCCGCTCAACATGAGTACCACAATCACTCTCTGGTTTCTCGTTGAGTGCGTATTAGTGAATTAGGGACAGTCAATGAATAGTGTTTGGGAATTAGTATTCAAGAAGCAGGTTAACATGACAGCAGTAACCTCTGAATGCGCCGCACAACATTCCGCGGGGGCGGGCCATTGCTCACAGGGATTCAAATGACAATGTCATTTAAATGCCACGGAGTGATATTGAAGTGACAACAGCAGACAAGGTCCGTTGTTCGTAAGAGGCAGTCCCATTGGCACAGCTTCCACACCGAGGCAAGTGCGAATTGCCACACCCATAAACAGGTGTGAAAAGGCTATGGTCATAGGATTGAGAAAGCAAGATAGAGCAAATGTTAAGGTGGTGGAAACAAAAGCCTTAAATGGGGACGACGTCAGATCAAACGATCCTCCCTGTTCAAGTAAGCATTAGTGTGTGCAGGACGTTATCACATAGGGCGTGAAGAATATTGCAATTTTAGAACGGATAAAAGCGTAACATTTGAAAGGTAATTAGTGCGGTGTTGAAATAGCGGGGTAAATTTGGAATAAAAGTGGAAACCAAATGGGGCAAACAGATGTGACAAAACAAAAGTACGAATAAATACTAGGGGAGAGGAGCAAGACAATGTAGCTTTGGCCGTCAGGTGCAAATAATCCTACATCCAGTGATCGGAGTACCGAAATTAGATTGGCAAGCGAGTGGGGCAGACCACGATATGCATTCAACAGAAGGGCCGTCTGATCTGATAACCTACGGGGGGCCCTGAGGGCATTCAAACTCCAGTGCTACGACGGGTTCCTCCTGTGGAGTCTGCTAAACCAGTTATAACTAAAATAGGATGAAAGATGTGTGCACTAAATGGCATTAAAAAGTTGGCCACGATTTCTCCAGTGAGAAATTTAGGTGAGTCAGACTTCATTTTCACCGCAGTACGCATGAGGATAATGGTGCATATGTTTTGTGGATCTTTACACTCACAATAAGAAAGGGAGCGATTAAATGGATACCTTCATATCCTTTAAATGTTGCGACCATTGTTTTCCAGTAAGCGTATCTTGTCGATCCACCCAATCAGACAACTCGGCGATTTTTCTCTTGTAGTACGGACTCCCTGGCATTAGCTGTACGTGAAGATGAATAGAAGATGACTGTAGAGTGGGTGATAATAAAACCTCATGTTGCATATATAAAGGTACCTATAGACCATGTACATACACAAACTTTAATACCGGCAATGTTAATCAAACATCAGGCGGACCCCCAAGCAATGGTCCAACTAGCGGTTGGAATAGAAACAAGAAGCAAGAAGTGTTCACTAGAATTTATGTGCAAATCATATGTATTATCCATAATAAGGAAGCAAGCCATCATGCACATACCGATTGCGAACGACAGGAGCATTTATGCGCCATTCATTGGGAACAAAGTTAAGTTCAGAATAGCAAGAAGAAACTGCACTTCAGTGTACTTATGAGAGCAAGTATGTGGTTCCCATCCGCATGCCTCCCGGTCTTATTCCTTCGGGTTTACACTGGATATGGGGTATGTGATTGGAGCTGTGGGTGGTGCAGCGCAAGCCATCCATGGTCCCTCTGTAGGCGCAGGCGTCCTGTGGCTTGCCACAGTGACAGGCGAATCCGAAACCGGATGCCGCCAACATTGTGGGCCGATCTAAGAGGAGACTATCCACGAGGATTTCATAGTATGTCCCATGCAACATGGTGGCAGACGGCCTGGAGTTGTGGCTAGCTCCATTGCCTGGCACACACTTGATTGCTCTGGTTGCCAACATCCACTTGAATCACTCAGGATCACTAGTCGACAGAGCCCTGCCCATTTGCTTCAGGTTGCAGACGCCTCAGCGACGCGTAGGCTGAAGCGTAATTTGTGTAAGCAGATGGAATTTCTGACTACACTTACCTTACCTTAGTGAGGCGTAATGGATTAGCATCATTTAAATCAAATGATTTTATACGCCGTTATACCTTTGTGTGCTACATAGTGGTAGCTTCACTGATTGTCTGTCAACAAGTGTTGGGGGGACTCGAAATATCTGGATTCAGGATATACTATTGGAATGCTGCTTCTTCTTGCTATTCTGAAGTTTGTAAATGGAAAGTCTTGTAGGAAAGTTAAGTTCAAGCGTTGCTCAAGGTGACCATTAGTCTGGTCAGTCGTCAACATCTGTGTGTCGGGTTCCACTAGCACCTCAGGCTATCACTACCTGACGAGTTCAAACCAGGACGAAACTGGTCGATCGTAGAGTGCAGTGTTCCGAGAGATTAGCTCCGAAACTCACCACTTCGGATGCGGTCTCGGTGATGAGGATAATCGAGGTTCACTTCACGGTGAACCTTGGTTTCGATTAGGATTTCGTGCTGTAATCCAGACACACACAGTGCACTCCGAAACCCAGCGAAGTCGGATTCGCTTGCTGCCAACTCGTTGCCCAGCTATGAGCAACCAAGTTGTTGAGCTTGTTTCAGTGACAAAGTTTGTTCACACACACGGTAGTATCACAGGTAAGCCATTGGGCAATCATGTGGAGTCATGTCTGGTTCGGGAAGCTCAGTGGAGTGAGCGGTGTATGCCAACTAGATAATATAAAAGCATGTACTGGGATTTTCACATGGGTCTGAATGAGACCAAACAAGCTCCAGTCGAGAAGGCAGAACTCACTAGCTTGAGCATATGCATGAATTCCTGTACGGATTTCACATCCTCTTCGTTGAAAGAGACCCGTGAGCTGATATCGTCAAAAAGTAATTTTGATAACGAAATGTATATATCATCTGCATACACCGGATCAATCCTATAGTTGGTTGGACTGAGGGGAGAAAATTGGAGAGATGGTTAAATGATGCCGGGAAAATGAAATGTTTGCAAAAGTTTCGAAGAGAAAACGTAATGCGATTAAATGTCGTAGCAGTTGAAGTGGTGCGCACGCTGGGTCGCAGAGTCAGTTGGAGTACAACGAGGGAAAGCAATGGACCAACACAAACTTTATCTACAAAACCAGAGATATTTCACCAACAACAGGGACAGGGACTAACGAGCTGACCTCAGTGTGGTTACCTACAATGAACAAACAAACTACGCAGAGAGGGAGAATAAGCAGGTAATACAGGCACGGCTACCGGTGAAAACTGAATGAAATGGCTTTCCAAACACTGTAATATTTGCATGCTGGTTCCCCTATGGGATTGATGGGTCTCATTGACTGGTGCAGGACGGTTCGGTTGCTCTACTATGAACCGAGTGCAAATGTGCGGTAGACGCAGATACATTGGCTTGTGTTACCATAACGATAACAGTCGACAGAAGTGATACATGGCAATGATACTTGGCCATATATGGATACTACAACTCATGACCATATATATTATTATGCTATATCACACTTCTTAGACTTCGTTTGACAATTTAGAAATTATGTTCCAACATTTAAGTCGCTTTTCCCATTATAGCTGCGTCGCACTGAAATGTTGTCATTTACCAAATGATGCACCTTTCGCTCTCATTGTACTTAACGCCAGAGTCTGTTGCTAGTAGAATCTTCGTTTCATTCTGGAGTACTTTTCTCACAGGATAAGGTTTTCGGCATGAGTCCGCATTTTTAGATGTCCCAAAACAACGACTAGGGAAATTACAAGAACGCTTGCCAAATTCTATGTATTCCTTGCAAATTGATGCCTGTATTTTTGGATTATTGTTAGATATTTACGCGTTATATATTTTTAATGGTAATCATTTTATGGCTGTTCCTTATCTACCTTGATATTATTGTTTATTTTATTTCTTCTCTGAGTTCACTACGAACTGGGACTTCTGAACGTGATTTAATCGAGCGATGAAGTTGGATTGCGCGTCAGTGTGCTTGAAAGAATGGCTCATCTCATTTCCGTCTTCTGATCAGATTGTGCTGGTTCAGATCGACGGGACATCCGTTAACGGAGGGTATAACTCCAGCACAATCTTCGGCACTTCACGCTGAATAACATGCATGTGTGAAACTGACATGGATAACATAACATATTCCATCTAAGATGTAGAGGGGGCCAAATGGAAAAGTCTGTACATATTTTGACCTTTCCCTATGTGGGAATAGTCTCTCGCATCGTCGAGAAATAAAGGATTTATTTATTTACTTATAAAGGGATAAAGAAAGTTAATCATAGAACAGGGTTGATAAGAGCTACAATAGCTAGATGAATGAACTAACAGTCGGTGCTACCGACTTTACGACTGTACCAGATGAGAGAGAAAAGCTGAGCGCTGATGTGACAGATCCCGATGCCCCCATGCGAAGGTAAGACATGCACCGTAGAGAGTTTTTTAGTTTGACTAGGGGCCTAAATGATGCGCGCTTGTCTTGCAAAGCAAATGTTACTTGTTCGAATTCGTATAGGTGCGGGAAACCTCGCAATATTATTCGCCGGCGCACATCTGGTGATGATCGCGTGGCAGCGAAGCGTCGGTGTAGTGCACCAGCGTACTGCCGATATCCTCCCCTTCTCAGTTGCATGTACAGGTTTCAATGTCACCAACTGGCAACACTAGGCCACACTGAAAGGAGCACATTATGGGCCAGAAAGCGAATATCCACTCCGATAGTTAGTCGGCAATGGCGAAAGCGGATTAGATGTTTGCCCCTATCTGCAGTACCTCATCGGGGTTTGAGGTATACATCAAAGTGGAAACGTCTTATATTAGTGTTTTCGGCAGATAACATGTAGTAGCGGATACAATACTAAAAACCCAATGTAATCAGTTATCCGCATGGCAGAACTCCAGGTTGAATTGGGGTCTGGAGCAGTTCGTTCAACAATAAAGGAGACAAATCTGGGAATAGATCGATTGTTTAGTTTCCCAATTGTAGGTTTTCTCAGAAGGAAGTTTCTCGGAAATGGACTTCGGCTGAGTTGAAACCCAACTCGGACTGATAACCTTACGTACTATCTTCATCTATAAACGACCCAGAGCAATCATAAGACTTGTAACCATATATCGTACCTGAGCATGAAGGACAGGCCGAGACTGTGTACTTAACAGAACCGCGCTTGACACAAAGTGAGTTGGGTGCTTAAAGGTTTGCAGCTTATTTAATGTTATGAATTATCCTCCTATGGAAGCAGGTGGCTTCGGAGGTCTACTTCACGGCTTAGTAGTTATTTCGTATCGACTTTACCGCTTTGGAGTTTGAGATTGGACAAAGAGGAGGGAACAAAACAGCTCGGAGCTCCGCGTGACAGGACTACCGAAGGTGGTATGGCGGCGTGTAAGAACGATTGATGGGAATTGAGCAAGTATTATGGACAGAAGGACAATCCTATTGATATGAGCTATATGTAGTAGACGGTAATGCATTTAGTCCGGATCTATGGTGGCGCCTAATTAGTAAGACATGTAGTAGCGCGATGCGAGGTTCATACTGGTACGCCCTTCACGGCTAGGCAGTGTCACAAGCTTGCATGATCAATAGAGTCGAAGGTTGCTTTCAGGTTATGAAAACCTATCATGGTCGTCTATGTGTCGGTGCTCTGGTAAACGACGAAGAGTAAATATGTGGTCGATGCGACCAAGACCAGTGTGGAAGCCAAAATGGCTCACAGTGATTCGACTATAACAAGGAGCAGCAAGTCGTCGAAGAATGAGACCCCCGAGAATTTGGTAATAGAAAGAGGTCTGAGTAATGAAACACAAGGTCGTGCGACAACCTGAGAGGGGTTTGTTGGCCAACCAAATGCGAAGGCTTGTTGCTCGCGACCATATGTACCAGTGCACCCTACAGCCGTTTGTGGATCCCCCATGGCACGAAATGGTGCATGGATCCTTGCCTACGAGTGCGATAACTTCCCAAATAAACTCCTCAGAATTGGTTAATGTAGTTGCCTTCCGAAGAACCGTGCTGTACGCACAGATGCACGGTAATTTTTGCATTTCATAATGTGTATCTTCCAAGCCGCACTGCTGCAAGGATTCGGAACCGCTGACTCATGTCTCTCTGATGGGAGGAATGCTATTAAATACTGGCTGTGCAACGTGCAGCAACAAGGCATCCAGTCAGGTGTAACAGTAACTCCTGTCAAGTACTTAACTATCTGAAACTGCAGATAATCGATTTTCAGGACTTGGAAATCGTCGACTTTAGTTTATATGCTACGTGTAGGTTATAAAAATAAACGATTCATGCACTATCTTCCCTTATCGTCTCTGGCATTGACGTAAGGTTATTTCAGACAATAGACATTGGTTGTTCGTAGCGTTTCGTTGAAAGCGCTACGAACCGTTTTACTGCAAACTGATAGTGTGGATGCTTACCACCTGCATGGAATACCATAGAAAAAGGTGGACGGTTGGAGTGCATTGCCACTGGTCTAAGTCAGCCTCGGCTACGCCGACCCAACCTAGATTACGCCGAGGCAATGGTGCCTAGGAGAGACAAGGCGGAGCGCCGTGGTTCGTCCATCAGCATGCACTGTGATTGGCTCGTGAGTTCAAAGTGATTGCATGGTACGTAAGGACCCGAGTGACAAGCCTTCGCACCTGATTGGCAGACAAAACCGCTTCAGGCTGTCGCACGACGTTGTGTTTCAACCACTAGAAAATGTAGCGTTTCCTCTCGGAAGCTCCACTCAGTGAAAACGGTGTGAACCGTCTCAGGAACGACTCATTGAGCTGGGTGGGTAGAGTCACCTCCATCTCAGGAAGGATGGAGGGACGTAGTCTGGTCCAGGTGCCTTGTTTCGTTTCATCACGGCAAGCCCATGTCGAATCTCTTCTAGAGTGGGAGGTGTGACATCAAATTCACACGTCGGCTAGTGTGGCAGCAGACCTGCTTTACAAAATGTTTCACCCAAGGACCTAGCTGATGTGACTGAGAATAGATTAATCTTCTATCCTTTTCAGCTATTGTCTTACTAACAGGTTTCCTTAGATCCGTGTTCCGGATGAGTTGGAATAGTACTTGGGCTGTTCACAGCAGCACTAGCCATCTCAATCACACAGGCCCTTGTCACAAACCAAAGTTGCCAGTCGATCTGAAGACTCAGTGTCGTTCGTTGTTTGAGGACGTTACGGACAGCTGAAACAGTACCCAATAGAACCTGTTTCCGTGCTTAGATCAATCTGATCGGTGCCTGACACATTTACAGTTGGGACGTCTCAAGTGCAGTTCAAACGCGCACACTTGACGCCGAAGATATTCTTCATGGCACATTTGAGACGATCCCAGTCAACGCTCGACTCACCAACCTGATTAATCACTGACAACTGGTGGGCTAGTTCGTCACGATGTTGCTGAAGTGCAAACCGTGAGAAGTACATAAGTTAGGTGCTTTTCGAAGCAGGAAGAATGAAGGCCAAGCGTGCGCCCACTAAAGCATAATCGAGGGTTCAGGCCCGTACTCCAGATTCACCGACAATCTTGAACCGATGTGCGCCATCTATGGCTGGTGGTAATAGAGTCAATTTGAGTCCAGGTCATGGATGGATTTGGTGGGCGCTAGGTGACATGATGTGAACGCTTGTGCTAAAAAGCAGTGCCACTAATATAAAGATTGTACTCAGCACATAGTTGCAGGAATCAATCACCAATGTCTGTTCGGATTGAAGCGACCCCGAAATGGCTTCCCATGTGTTGTTCAGAGTCCGATAGGCGACCCACCTTGGCATTCAGGTCACCAGCGACAATCACGATGCCAGTATACTTCGCTATGCGAAGAAGAGATCAAAGCCGTCGATAGAAATGGACTTTGATACCCTCCGAAGTGCAGTCAGAAGGGGCATAGACGAAGTTAATGAAAATGCACCTTGTCTTCTGATGGT